ACTGCCGTTCCTACGGTCCCAACAGCGCCTGGCGCTGCAAAGTCTGCACCAAGGAGGCGTGAGTACCCGGGGACAAGGGGCAGGGACCTTCTGCACATTCCTCCTGTCCCCTTCGTCCTCCCGGTCACCCCAGCTTGATGCCCCATGGCCAGTCTTTCCTAGCCTAGCTGGTCTTCTCCCATGCACCCATGGTTGAGTGATGGAGAATTGGGTTGCGCCCCACTCCTGGGTCTCCTTCGTGCCCATCCTGCTCCTTTTCCCCCCTTACTTGACTCTGGCATCCCCCCGTGCCCCTCACACAGCCTGTGTTTCTAACAGCCCAGGTTTCCTCCCTCTTGGCCTCCCTGGCCCAACAAACCCTGTCTTGCTGCTGTGTTTGCTGGGGATGTAGCTGGGCCCGTTGTCTGCCCAGTGCATCATCTCTGCCCAGACACCTGCCAAACGTGCCCACTGTGCCCGTGCTCTCCTTGGCTGTGGCAGCACCAAAGGTGGCCATGGGGCACAGGGAGCAGCCCCTCACTGCCCCCCACCGCCCCCCTGATGACTCTGCAGCGAGCTAAAGAAGACGACGGGAGACTGGTTCTATGACCAGAGGGTCAACCGTTTCGCCAACCGGCTGGGCAGTGACATGGTGCGGCTGTCCCTGCGGCACAGGCCGGCAGGTAGGGGTGCCGCAGCAATGCCTTCTCCCGCAGCCCTCCAGGATGCCCCAGCTTGCCCCGGCACTCCTCTGCCCAGTGCGGAGCTGGCTGGGAGCAGCTCCTGCTCCAGGCAACAGGCTTGGAGCACTGGTCCTCCTGATGCCTCTCTCTTTCCAGCCAGCAAAAGAGAGACCGTGGGACAAACCCTCCTCCAGAAAGCCCAGCTCAGTGAGCCCAAAAGCTCCTCCGCCGCCCGGCAGCAGAGCCCCCTGGCACCCCAGGAGGGGCCCAGGTGAGGGTCCCTGCCATCTCCCCTGCTCCGGGTGCCAGCCCTCGTCTGCTGCTGCGGGGACGGGAGGGACGCTGCTGCCCTGCTCAGATCACTGGTGGCGTAGAAGCTGTCTCTCAGACTGACCTCCTCGCCAAACAGGACATACCTGTGGTTTTGTTTGTCTGCAGTTTGTTTCCAGATGCCTCAGACCCTCGGGATGGCAAAAGCGACACAGAGTCCATGGAAAACATGAGCCTGGATGGCTGCAGACCTAGTCCTGGGGGCATGGGGGGCAGGTGAGGGGCTCCCTCGGTGGGCTGTCCTTGGCAAGACTGGCCTGGCAGAGGATGAGGACCTTCACCTGAAATGTGTTTTTCTCAGCCTAGCGAAGGGGAGCTGGCTCCTCTGGCTGGGCTGAAACCTGTCTCTGGGCAGGCAGGTCCTCTGCTCCCCAGGCTGGGGTGCTCTGGGGAGTTTGTGGGTGGATGGCGCTTCCCAGCCAGCACATGCTCTCTGAGCCATGCTGGGACATGGGACATGTCTGTCCCATGCATTGGCCTGGGACAGACCTTTCTGTGCCCTCTGCAGGAGTAACTCCCTGGAGAGAGCTGCTCCTCTCAGGGACGGAAAACAGGTTGCTGCACCGGCAGGACCCGCTGCCTCCAGCCTGACCCTCCCTCTCCGCTCCAAAAACGTGCTCTCGGACAGACGGGTGCGTGCTGCTGCTCCGGCGGGCTCAGCCCTGTTCAGGCAGGGAACTCTGTGGGGTGCCCAGCCCTGTCCTGCTCTGAAGGGACCCTTCCTCCCCAGGATGCCGCCATGGGGAGCCGCAGCAGCGCCTTGGTGGATGAGCATGAGACGATATTCAAGAAGAATCCCCGACGGGTGGTGAGGCCTGCGGGTGAGAGCTGCTTGGGTGCTGACATGGCGGGGGGGGGGCGGCCGGCTCTCCCCGGGCT